TAATTTACATTTAATTTTTTAAACATTGAACACTCTGAAGTTTTGTTTTTAAACCCAAATTTATTGACTTGGCTGTCATGAATAATCAAGAGTGGTCGCCCCTTGTTTTGTTACTCTCCTCTTTGAGAGAGCTATTTGTTTACTGAGACTATAAAAGGACACTATACGCAAACCTTGTATTCTCAGTTGAATAAAGCTTTCTTAAAGCCTATACCTGTATACTTTTGTCATTACAATGGCTTTGTTGGTTGTAGAACAAAGTTTATCCGGCAACTGCAACCACCAAAACACAGTTTGAATTTCATGACTGTGTTGCCCTTCCCTTCTATGGAAAAAGATAACAATCCTAACTGAAACTGATGCATTTGGTGAGCATCTTGAAAAAGTGGAATGGGAAATAATACTCCTGAATAATGCAAAGTGTTAATGGTCAAAGACAGTAATTTCTTAATTATGCCTCATCTACTTTAGGTTTTGGGAGGAAAGCTCAAAGCTATTTATCTGATTAAACAATTACTAAACAGACTTCTATTAAAAAAATAAACTGCTAAATATGCAGCTTAAAAATGTAAAGAGTTTATAAAATAGATAACCCCAAAATATGCAACAATTTTCCTAGTTTCACTTGCAAAAGATTCAGTTCTCTCTAGTTAGCAAGATCTTTTGATTAAATTTTTTTTTCCTTCGATTTCCCATCTCCAGACAAAATGTCATTTCAAATTTTAAAATGGGAAAAAAAAAAAAAAATTAAATTTTTATGATATAAAATAAACCATTCATAGGTGATCAATATTTGGAAGTTGATATTTCAATATTTCACATCACCATCAGCCTGATTTGAGGATGATATGAAGAAATTGTATGCATTTATATTTCTTTTTTAACCACTGGAAATTTTACAAAGTAACTTCCCTACACTTAATTTAGTCCTTTCATGGCAGACATTTAAATATCTACCACATATACTAGAGTATAGTATGAGCTTTTATGATCATTTTTTTTTTTTTTTGTTTAGACAAAAAACAGGGTGGTCGCACTATGCACAGGTAATTTTTTTTTTTAAGAGCTTAAAAATCATGTATTTTCAGTGACCAGTTGCACTATACACAGGTAATTTTTTTTTTTTTTGGTTTTGGGGGAACATCCATAAAAAACAACATGTGTGTATAGAGTGCTTTTTACTTAGAATGACTCGAATTATCATAACCCAAAGTGTGTACCTCAACTGCATTATGTACCGGTGATCCCGACAAAAAGGTTGCCATTGGAAAGGCAATACCTTAGCAATGTAAACACTTGCAAAATGAAGATGAATGTAAATTTGAGATATGAAAAAAAAAAAAAAAAAACTATTAATTCTTCATGTATATAATGTTAAGCTGAGGATTATAAATATCTAGGATCATTCATCTCCTCCTCCTTGAAAGACTTCCAAACTAGGAAGGGTATGGCATGGTCTGCATGCAACGATATGCACAAGATCTGGATATCACAACTGGACATGACAACTGGACAGAAAACTCAAAATCAAAATATTCAGAGCCACTGTTGAGCCGATTCTACTCTATGGACACTCTGTAAAGGCATGGAGAAATGTTTGGATGGAACCTATGCCTATCTTCTGATGAGAGTTCAAAATCTCTTTTGGAAACACCATCCAACCATCTACCAAATCTACAGCAGTCTTCCTCATGTTTCCTCTCTCATACAAGCTCATCAAACACAGTTTGCCGGCCACTGTCACCATGCCAAGAATGAGATTCTCTCCTCTCTCCTACACTGGAAGCCTGCATCAAAACCTGACTAGGGGTAAAAAACTATCATTCCCTGATGCCATCACAAAGGATGCAGGCATTGGTAGGCAGGAGTTAGGGACAGCAATGAAGGAGCAGGAAGTCTGGCGTAGTGTTGTGGACTCCATGATCTTGACTACGGTCGACACATGATGATGATGAGATAAGGTATTTGTTGTTTCTGTATGGCATACATAGTGGATGAAGTTTTGCTCTTCACATGGCGACAAAAGGGGAAGAAACTTAGGTTACCATAGGAGGCAGGCCTAGGATAAAGGCGCTACCCTAGTCAGGCATGAATGAAAACAAAACTCTGGTATCTAAATCTTCATATCAGATATTTTAGGGTAAGTGCCTTTTCTCACCATTCTGGGGTAGGTTTGTACAAAAAAGGACGAAGACCATTTATTTGCTATACAATATGTCCAGGATGATGTCCAGTATTGCAATATTTGACTATAGTAGGCCCACTGGTATTGTTTGGAAGCTGGGATCACGTTATACACAAGCTATATAAAAAAAGTCAGGTTTTTCACCAAAAAATTCAGAGGTCACAGTATACATGAAATAGACTTATACACAAGCATATAAAATAATCAGTTTCATTCAGGAATTATTATTTCATTACACGCATTTTATCAAAATACAAAATTACACTTACTGCTTATAGAAAAGCTCACCTTTCGTTTCTCTAAGATTATCAAACATGATGATAGTGGAAAGTTCCCAGATGATACATGCTATGACTGTATTATTCAAAGATAATAATTACATGACATTTTTTTTTTTAAATGTCATGTTTCTTGAAGGATGTAGACAAACATGGCTCACCACAGCTTTCTTCTTTTTATTATCTATGAATTCTTGGAGGGTCAGATAGTAGAGTAGCTTCCTTTTGGCTTCTCTATGTTTTCAAATTCTTAAAAATCTTTCTCTTAAACTGGCTGCCACCCAAAGCTAGAGCCCAGTCTACCCTGCAATTTAATCCATAGCTAAGGGAGAAGAGATGGATTTGTGTCTTTCTCAACAGCATTAGTGCAAAAGAGAACACAATAGACAATAGCAGATTTTGAGTTGGACTCATTGATTTTAATTCAATTACTGGTACCCAGTCAACCGAGTCTGCCAATCATCCCTATGCTATTTGCTCATGTTTAATTAGAATACAAATCTTTATAACATTTGATACTAGAGTATAGGGGTAAAAAACTATTATTCCCTGATGCCATCACAAAGGATGCAGGCATTGGTAGGCAGGAGTTAGGGGCAGCAATGAAGAACCAGGAAGTCTGGTGTAGTGTTTTATCAAAATTAAATCCTACCACATATACTAGAGTATAATATGAGCTTTTATGATCATTTTTTTTTTTGTTTAGACCATTTATTTGCTATACAATATGTCCAGGATGTTGTCCAGTATTGCAATATTTCATAATGATATAATGATATAACCTCAAAATATGCAACAACTTTCCTAGTTTCACTTGCAAAAGATTCAGTTCTCTCTGAATTCCCAGAGAATTCAGAGAGAACTGCCACCATGCCAATGTGGCAGTTCTCTCTGAATTCTCTGGGAAAAGTAAGCTTTCTTTTTTTCTTTTTTGTTTTAAATCATTTCCAAACTAGAGTAAAATTATTTGTAAATAATTTTAAACTTAAAAAATTTTTTTTTGTTTTTTTAATGAAAATGTTAACACTTTTCCAATTGAGAAAAATTATTTTGCATTAAACAAAGCTTAGAAAATTCAAGCAATGTGTCTGATTCAAATTTTGCATGATGTTCAGCCAATCTGCTATGGTGAGCCATTGAGATGATTTCTTAATATTTTGGGGAATGTTCTTATGGTCAAAAACAGGCTTATTTGTGTTATATGCATTCCAAGGCTGTTCATGGTTCAAGGTGATTGAGTATCCAGTTTGATGACTCAAGTAAAATGTGTGCAGGCATAGGAAGAATTTTCAAATTGAAATAATAATTATTTACTGCAGTTAGAGTGTGCTTTTCTTTTTATGTTATTATCTGGGACCTTTCCAATACTGCATCATAAAAATTTAGTCTTTTTTTTTTCTTTTTTAATCATTTTGTTCATTGAAAATTATTCAAGAAAAAAAAAATAAATTGTGAAATCATAAAAGGATATAACCACCAAACACTGAATTCATATAGCCAGAAACTTCGCCACATTCTTTTTACCTTAAATGATTAAGGGAATAAATAATAATAATAATAATTTTAATAAATCACTGCAAGCATAAAAATCTGACAATGGAAGTATTGATCCACAAAATAATTGAATATGATACAATTTCAATTTCTTTCACACATTGAATATTTTGGTTACCAGAAAAAAATTTTTTTTGTAAATTTTAAAAAATCTTTTAGATTTTTTTTTTTTTTAAAGAAAAATCAAATTTAAAAGAAAACTGTTTTCAACAACACTTTTTATTAAAAATAATGTAAATTTTCTTCTTTGAATGAATTCAAAAGGAATTTGTTTAGAAATTTAAAAGCAAAAAAAAAAAAAAAAAAAAAATGAAATCTTTGAAAATAGCATTTCAAAAATTCACACAATTAAGGAAAATAGGTTAGTTACTGTTTTGATATATTTCTTAAAAAAATAAAAGACAAAATTTGGTATTCAGTGGCCAATCAACTTTTTTTTTCTTTTTTTTTTTTAAATCATTTCCAAACTAGAGTAAAATTATTTGTAAATAATTTTAAACTTAAAAAATTTTTTATTTTTTTTTACTGAAAATGTTAACACTTTTCCAATTGAGAAAACAAATTATTTTGCATTAAACAAAGTTTAAGTATTAAAAAAAAAACCTTTTTGAAAAAACTATTAAAAGTAAAATATTCTACCTAAAATCTAATAGACACAACATTAATTAGGGTGAAATATCTGTGGCCAAACAAGGGATTTTACTTTAGTCGTTGGGAACATGTCAGAAGAAGAAGAAGGGGATGTTTCTCAGATAGTGAATTGGGGTTTACATTTTAATTAAGGGAGCTAAATTGGGCGAGAAAAGTGGAAACAAGGTGGGAGATGTATTATCAAAAGTGCAGTTTGGAAATCTAGGAGAATTTTGATATGAAAGAAGACTTGAGGAAAAAAAAAAAAAAAAAGAAAAAAGTCGACAAGTGAAACAGGAGCTATATGGAACTTGTGCAGGATATGCTTTAGCAAGCACCAAAAAATTCCACAG